AGCCTGCAGAATTGCTTCAGGCGTCGGGTGTTCGTTGCCCTTGCGTGGCGTCCCCTGATGTTGTCGGCGTGGGTCCGCCGGGGCCGGCCCGAAGTCTATCGATATGAACCTCCACTCGTCTGCTGGAGCTGTCGCTACTGGCGGTCCCGCTGCGGAGCCTGCGCGCTTCTTCGTTGTCACCCTGCGGGGCCTGGTCGCGACCCTCGTCGAGGCTTCGGCAGCGCCGGTTCGGGTTAACGTGGTAGGCGGCAGCTTGGCAGCTTTTAGTCGCTTCTCTCAAAAAGACTGCGCTTTCTCTAGTAGCACCCACGAGGAGCTGGTGACTTGAGAATCGTGTCTGGTCTTCGATCGGCAATTCGGGCCTACTTATACCCTCTCGGACCGTTTCTTCCTTACGAGAAACTCGGTCCTCTAGCGGCTTGTCTAGGAAGATGACACTCGCGGCTGGCGCGTGATCGCATCGTGCGCCTAGGCGAGGGCGCAAAGTCCGCCGCGCGAGACCCGGCGTAGGCGCGCGATGTGCCGGGCGGCCGCGGAGGCTTGGTAACGCGTGTGTCGCGCGCGTGATCAGTTGGCGCAGATTTGCCGCCATAGTATAAATAAACAACTTATAAAGTATAAATAAAACAGTAAAATCACAAAATTGTGTTAAGAATATTGTTTATTATTATTATTATTGACTTTTAGAGTAACAATAATATAATACATTAATATAATATAATAACAATAATATAATAAAGTGATGTTAATATAATAATAATATAATAATATATTCCCCTCGGGGTTACAATTTCAATTTACAGACTTCTTACATACTACTTAACCTATGCTTAAGCTATGCTTATACTATATTCCACATTACACCTAATCTACTCGCTCCGCACGCTCGCACGCTCGCTCGCTTGCACGCTCGCACGCTCCACCGCTCGCACGCTCGCCCGTGCGCCCATCCTTACGCTCCTTCCGCCACCCATCTCCATCCCATTTCCCGTCTCATCCACCTATTCTCGCCTCCCCTCGGACGTTTCCATTCACCTTTCTCACTCTTTCCTTTCATTCTTCTCACTCATACACCCATCCACTCCACCTCCACCCTCTCCTCTCTATCTCTCCCTCTCTTCCTCTATCTTCCTCATCTAATCCTCCCCCTCCCCCTCTTCCCCCAATATAGTCCCACACACTTCTTGCCACCCTCCAACTCCTCCCTCCTTCCAACTCCTACATTTCTCCCATACGTGCTCCCACGTTTCTACACTTCTCTCACACAGTCTACATAATTTCTTTTCTTCTCTCTCCCAATACCTTCCCTCTAACATTTCATTTCCCAGCCTAAACCTTGCAACTCTTCTCCATCTACTCTTACTCCATCCCCTTTCCAAGTACTTTGGTATTCCCTCTCCTTTCACACCCCTATACCACCTACTAAATTTTCCTTCCTCTATTCTTCCCCATCTTTCCTTTTTCTGTCTTTCCCTATCCCTTCTCTCCAATTCCTCGATATCCATCTCTCTCTCTCTACTCTGTCTATCCCACTCCTCTATCTCCACACCTCTGTACTTTTAAAATTGTGCCCTCTCCCTCTCCCTATTTTGACAATTCCTTCCCTTTTTCC